TCTTATTTTGTGATAGATCAGCCACCTCCTCTGCATCAAGGAGAGAAGCAACTTAGAACTGAGGAGAAATTTCCTGATAGTTACAATAATTAATTCAGTGAAACAGAAGTTGCCTCCAGAAGTTGTGAATGCCCCAACACTGGAAGTCTTTAAGAAGATGTTGGATAGCCATTTGTCTGAAATGGTATAGGGTTTTCTGCCTAGGCAGGGGGTTGGACTAGAAGACCTCCAAGGTCCTTTGCAACTCTGCTATTGTATTTGTATTTATTTGTTCAAGACAATATGTAGCCAATAGAATTCCTAACAATAATCCTAACCTTGGTATCATTTATAAAACTGATTCTTAAGCAGTAAATAAAAGTTATTGTAACAAATAAAGGATCTATGGTATTGACAAAGGAACTGTTGGTATTTGCGGTAAAATAAATAGTTTGGTTTAAATAGTTATAAAAGAAATTATTCTGGATAACATTTCTAAGTAATGTCTATTGGAATGTTTGCATAAGGAGTTTTTCCTCTCTTCCTTTATTAAATTGTTTTACATGAATCTCTGTCAGTTGTCCAAAATATATAGTTAATAGGGGCAAGAGGAAACCCCAAAGATATGTTTGACGGATGCACTTTAGGCAGCATGAACAAAAATCTCAAGAAATAACCAAAGTATTCCTAAATAGAAGCACAGATTTGGTGTTATGGTCATGTTAATTTTTTGATCTGCTAGTACATTTGAAAAGTTGTCCTAGTCTTCCTATAAATAATGGACTGCTTTTTCTGACACTTTTTCTGACACATTAAGAGAAATAACAGGCAGGAAGTGGGGTGGGAGAATGGGTCGTTTTCAGGAGAATAGATGAAATAAGAAAAGATTGGAGGATGAAAAGTAAAAGAGCATCAGAATCTGACTGGATTTTTTGTTAACTGATTTGTGACACTTTGTGTATGTCTGGCTTGCAGGAATGAGTATATGAATAAGTTTTCAGTCAATACTAGCTCCAGTTTATAAGATACCGAGCTCTGTATATGTTTTAGCAAAACTGTACATCAGATCCACCCAGCTAATGAGAAACAGTTGTTTTTTCCCTCTGAGGGAAAAAAATGCAAGTTCTCATTATGTAATAAAAAACACATACAGATTGTTAAACCTAACAAATGTTGCCTTACTTTGCCTATTGATGATGAAGCAATGAGTGGTGTGACCTGCTGTGGTCCCTCTGACTACAGAGGCCCTTGCATTTCAGTTTCCCAATTATAACAATTGTTAAAAATTTCATCACTTAGCGTGATTTTAAAACCCCAGCTTTGCTATCTTTGATCAACCTAACCCTGTTGCATCTATCTATTTTTCACAGTATCTGTCTTGAATTGTTTATTTTAAATCACAATAAGCATTGTGGGATAGTTTTTGGATGCTGTAAGGCTAAAGTCACTTCTGTTGTTTCAAATTGGGGGTCTCATTTGAATGGTCAGACAAAGGGTCCATTGATCAACATATAAGCCATTTTGGGCTGTTTGTTTTTGTTCCTGAGCTGGAACATCTGACACCATTTATTGAAGGCTTCCTGAGCTGACATTTTGAGTGGGAGGTGAATATGAAGTCTTGCTTAGGAATTACAGAAACCATGACCTTGAAGCTGTGATTGAAAATGGAGTTCCCACTTATTTCAATATAACATTCCCAGATAATCATTGTGGTTCTGCTTTGGTTGGGTGGTTCTGCTTTCTCCAGTCAGTTGCCCTTTGTTTTCTTTCAGTCTCCTCACTGCCTTTTCACTTCTTCCCCTCCTCCCCTTTAGCTTTTGTAGAGTTTGCAACATCACTTGTGAAAGAAGAGATGGCTAACATGCCTCGTGGAATATACCATTCTGCACTGCGAGGTAATGCAGTGCGGTCAGACCATGGAAAAACACTATCAAGTGTTCCAAACTTTATGATAAAAATGCATGAGAGGAACAAGCAGCCTGGGCTCAAACCTGGCATTGCAGGTAAGATTCTTTCAGTGTCTCTTTGTGTACCTATTGACTTTATTTTTATGTCACTCTGGGAGGCATTCATACATTTAAAACATTTAAATGTCACAATTGGCATAACTTGACATTCAGAATAAATACCATGTATGCCTTGCCTTTACATTTCTTTTTTAAAAAAACAAGAACACTGCACAGTCACCCAGTAATGCTGTCTACTAAGTGTTCTTATTCCAGTTCTGATTACTAAGAGCAGGGATTTTAAAAAGCCACAACAAAATTTTAAAAGCCTGAATAATAAGATACTTGAATAGTTTAAAAGACTTAAAATATATTGCACATAAAGCAAAGCATTCTATGATTGAAATGTCACCAAAACTAATATTCTAGGTCAGTGACGGCTAACCCTTTTCCCATCACGTGCCAAAAGCGGGGGGAGCACAGGGGAGGGGTCATGCGTGGGCATGCCCACACTCATAACTCTATGCATGTGACCCCCACCCTCCCCCCACTTTTGGCACATGATGGGCCCGTTTTTCACCCTCCCCAGGCTCCAGAGGCTTTCTAGGAGCCTGGAGAGGGTGAAAACGACCTCCCACCACCACCCGGAGGCCCTCTGGAGGCTTCAGTAGGCTTCCCTGAAGCCTCCGGAGGGCAAAAAATAGTCCTATGAGTAACCTGGAATTTAAGAAATGGATGAAGTGTGAAAAGTGCCCAGAAGTGCAAAAAACGGCCCTACAGGAAAACCAGAAGTTCGTTCCCAAACCTCTGGTTTGCACGTTAGGTTGTTTTTTGCCCTCCAGAGGCTTAGGGAAGCCTTCGGAGGACAAAAAATAGCTGAAAATGAGGCTGAAGTTAGATGGTGTGCACTGGAGCCGACAGGGCAATGCCTCATGTGCCCTAACGAATGGCTCCGTGGGTCACCTGTGGTACGTGTGCCATAGGTTCACTATCTAGGTTGTTACCTATAGTTTATAGGGCCTGATTACTTGAGGGATTGCCCAGCCATTTTGATTCTATAGGGCTAGCATGCTCTGGATTCCTTCAATTAAATAATGCCATCTTTTAGGATTTTGGAAGCATACTTCTCTGTAGCAGCAGCTGCCCTCTGGAATGAGACTTCCCCTAAAAACCAGATGACCCCTCCCTCACTCTGCTGTTATTTAGAAGAGTGGGGAAGACCTGGATCTTCATCCAGACCATGCCTCATCCAAGTGCATGAATTATTAAATATTCCAATGGCATCTAGTGAAAGTCTAAACAAAAGCAACATAGTTCATGCGAATAGATAGATAATAGGTAAATTTTGTGTAATAAAATGCCTTTGGAAAATGCTTTCCTCTTATTCCGCATGTTAACTTGGTATAGATCAGGTCTCCATGCCCATTCATGGGTGTATTATAGAATAAGTTTGCTATAAGAAAAGTGAGTCCTGAATAGAAGAAAAAATATATTTTCTGATATACTGAAAAGAAAATCGGTAACTTGCATCTCCCCCTCCCCTTTAAGAAATAATTACCAAATTCTTCTGAAATCCCCGTTTTCACCTTTTCTGTATTACAGTTTTATATAATTTTACAATAATGTTAACATATGTTTTTGGAACAGTTATCAGCAATTAAATGCACGTATAAACACTTTTTTCAGCTGGCATGTTACTGAGTTATGATCTTCCAATTCATGTGGGCAAAGACGGCAAACCTATCAGTCGGTTTTTAGCCAGCAGGGGGCGAAACTTCCACCAGGTGTTTATAGCTCTCATCCATGAGGTAAATGGTGCCATTCTCCTTCTTTTTGCATAACCATTCAAAGCATTTATTTCTCTACCTGAGCTTCCATTTGCTTATATTTAATTATGAAATGGTAGCTGCAAGCAATGTGCTGTTGTAATTTGCTCTTAATTAAGTCAACTTAAGGAGAATGGAAAACATAAATTTATCTAATGAAATGCTCTCTGAGGTGAAGTGTTTTCTCTAGAACACAAATCAGAGCATCAGAGTTTTATCTTCAACTCTTTTAAACAGTTTTGCTTAAGCAGCTGACATTCTTGACAGTTTCAGGCTTGCCTGAAAAACAATTAGGGGATGGCAACCTATGGAGTCACCCATATGTCTTGTTACTACTGTATAACAACAACAACACAGTATGTCTCTTCATTGTTCTTAGCATCTTGGGGCATTATATTAATAGAACTGAAGTTGCACTAAAGTTTTATAAATTGAAGCTGTACCTTTCCTGCATGAAATATGAGTTAAGGCAGGGACAAAAAATAAGGAAAGGATGTATAATTAACTGTAATTCTTATACTACTTACAACAACTGATTTTTAGAAATTGCAGAGAGCAGATAGAAGACGTATGAAATCATGTGACGGGTATGTTGGCATTTCTGTCAGATTGCATCAAACTGCTATATTATTGGTGCTATTTTTATAACTGGAGGAAAGTTTTCTGAGCAAGCTAACTATGTAAAATTATTTCCTGTCTGTTCTGGCATTTGAATGGCAGCTGGGTTGCCAGGAAAAATTTACATCTACCTCTATTCGGATAATGGGTACCCTGCAGACTAAGGAAGAGTTACTGAAGAACATTTTGAATTTTACTCAACTTTATGAGAGTAGAAGAAGAGTTTCTATTTTATTTTCTTTAACATTTCTTAAATTGTAGAAACTACACAAGAGCAGTCTTGTGCCACCCAGAAAGGCTGGAAATGTAATTCTCAGGATCCCTTAAATTAGCCATCAAAGCTGAAAATTCTTCCAACACTTTTGGAAGGGCAGAACTTTGGGAAGCTGAATTAAATAATTGTCACCCCATTTCCCCCACTGTCCATCAAAGCTGAAAATTCTTCCAACACTTTTGGAAGGGCAGAATTTTGGGAAGCTGAATTAAATAATTGTCACCCCATTTCCCCCACTGTTTTTTCAGAACACACAGTGCACGATATGATATAATTGCATTCTAAATTTTACTATCATGTCATTGATCTGTGATAGGTCTAAAGAATTCCAGGTTCAGGAGTAGTTCTTAAATCTGTAAACCTGCAGAATGCTGTGCTTATTGATCTTTAAGATGCAACATTGCAACTATTCTTCTGAAATTCCTATTTTTAAAAAATCTAATCCAGTGGCACTTCTCTTACACCTTTATGGGTCTTTGCTGAATTCTGATGTAAAATACTATGGAGGTCAGACTGAGATAAAATACACAATTTAAAAAATCTAAATCTGGCGCAGGGATCTTGCTTTCATATTAACACTACCTATCACTTTTCAGTTTTCAGCTAAAGAGTGTAGAATCTTTTCCAGTACTCTTGTCTGTTTTGACTAGCTTGTACAGTACTCCAAGTTCTAACTTTCTTAGCTTTCACACTTTCCTGGGTTGTTGAAAGATGTCAGTGGCTCAGCTCTCCAGCTACATGTACAGTGCTTGGATATTCTCAGTCATTAGTAAAAACCATGTGGCCTCTTTTTCTTGAAGAATCCACCTCCCTATAGAATTAATAATGAAGTTATAAAAATCTGTCTTGTTTTGTGTTCAGTAAGCCTTACTTCACAGAGCCAAATTTCTGAGGATAATCAGGAGGCAATCACTTAAAATAATTTGAAGGTATTTGTTTCCGTCATATATTTCATATCTTATAGTCTTAAATTGACTTCTGTTAACAGAAAATATTATTTTTATGTTGCTTACAATGGTTTTGGTAGGAAAAATAGCATAAAAATAAGTTTATTCCCTGATTTGTTTAATATATTGCAAAGTTGTTTATCTATTAGGACAAGGCAACCCATAGCACCAAAATATAATGGAGAACAATTGAGAAGTACTAAAGTTGAAGAGTGAATATTAAAATAATTGTAAAACAATGTACAGTCACGATTGAAAATGTAGATTTAAATTCTATTGTTTGAATTCAGGCAAAAAAAATGAAAGAACAATGCAATTCTTGATAATTGTGTTCCCAGGCTTGGATTTGAAAATTTATATTTATTTGTTTGTTATTTATTTTTTACTTATTTATTTGGTGCCCATCTCATGTTAATGACCCTGGGCAGTTTACAGCATAAAAGTTAAATAAAAACCTTGATTTCAGGAAATAGTAATCATTGCTTATAAATGTAATTAAAACCTGGCACTGGATGAATCTGTTTTTCTGCTAAATGCCAGACTCTTCTTCCACATTTTGTGCTTCAGATAAGAAGAGGCAAGGAAGTAAACTAAAGTAATACTTAGCAGTAATGGGAATTATCTAGCAGTTGAGCCATTCTAGCCTGAAAAATAAGCTTCAGTTCTTCATAGTGTTTTTGCTTATATGTAGTTAGAGGTAGTCGAATAGAGGTAGTTAGAAGAATTATTAGAGGTAGACGTTGGGCTCTAGGTTGCTAGATTCAAAAGGAAAACCAAAACTTTTTTTAAATACAATCACCTGAATAAATCTGTCTGTCTCATCCGAAATGTTTTATTAATTGCCCCGAACTTCTGTGTTGTCTTACATTCTTCTCTTTTTCTATAGGAGATTCTTATTTAAGAATCACTTTGAACTGCGAGATGCACGGCAAATAAATTGACAATAATAATAAATATTTTTTGCTATGAATTCATTTTTTATTTGCTATCAACCACAAAAATCTTTCTTTTCTCCTTCAGAGTTTGGAGTATATTTTTATCTTATAAAAGGAAATGACTGTGTTTTATTTTATAACTTCAAGGCTTTTGTTTGTTTCATGTGGGGCTAAATTTCCTTTTGGCTTGACAGGCATTCAGAAATACACATGTTTGTATTAAATTTGAATCATAGGAAAAATAAAAAACTGAGAAAATGATGAGAGAGAAGAGTGTTTTGCATATGCTGTTCTAGGCTTTGGAAACATGATTCAGAGCTATATCATTTGTGTGGCAATTTTTTTTCTGTAGGATGCAAGATGTTAAGATGAAACCTTGCTCCTGCTATAGCTTAATAAAAGTTATTTGAAATGGTAATTTCATTTTCAGAAACATTTTTTTCTTTGGCAAAAAAAAGTAGCCAGCTTCCGGCAGCTGTAAGTATAGTATTTGTAAAATAACATTTCACTTCTACTGCTTTTCTTTTTTTATATATTATTTATTATTTTATCATAAAAATAAAATAAAAAACAGTGAAACAAACAAATAAAATGAAATGCAACAAAAGCATACATTCAACCCTAACAACAACAAAAAAGAAAAAATATATATGTCTGGGTGCTGAAAGAAAAGAAAAAGCAGTAAATTATCCTCCCCTTTTACACACACACATACACACACATATATATGTATGTAAAAAGGGAGGAGAAATTACTGATTTTTCATATGAAGAAAGAATAAAAAGCAGGCAACAGGTTGAACTAATCATTACACTAATCTTCAAATCCCTCTGTTAGCCATCTGTTATTATATTTAGCTCATAGAAAGTCTAAAGTCAGTTTCCAGTGTCATATAAAGCTGCCTAGTCCATTATCTCTAATCAAAGCAGTTAATTTTGCCATCTCTGCTAATTTAGTCTATTTCAAAGTACATTATTCAACAGCCTGCGTTCCTTTTTCCTTCCGGTATTTGGCAAGTGCAGTTCTTGCAGCCATCACCATATGAAGGAATAGCACCCCAAATTGTTTTTCAATTGGCTTGTCCATCATATCTAAAAGAAAACCTATTTTTGCATTGCCATTATTATGTTTACCCAGTATGTTTTCACATATTTGCAAGACTATTCCACTGCTTTTCTTGATAAAATAATGTGTTTAATCGAATGAATGAAAGGCAAAAAAAGGAAGGAAGGGTTTTTTCTTAACAAAGGGATGCAGTGGGGTCAAATAATTCCACAATAATTCTAATTCTTCATTAGAAATATTTGAGAAAGGCTCTCAGTTGATTCCTTGATTTGAAGGGGACAAATCTGAAACTTGAGAATTCTCAACTTGTCTCTGATTTAATATATCTCTGTTCCAATGGGAGTCAGCTCTGCCACTTTGGTATTCTTCATTATTGTTAAAAACTGTAGTGCTTCATTTTACAGTATTTAAATACTGCCCAAAGCCAAACATTATGGACAATACACCCTAGAGATTAACTTTCATCCTTTTCCACGTGATTTGCATTTTGTATTGTATTAGTTGTGAAGCTCAGATGTCTTTGGACATCAGGGATCAACAGCCTGGAGCTGTCTGGATCTTGGAAACATTATTTTTGATCAGAATTAGTAAACCTGGTTTACTAAGTAGTGTAACACACAAAGAGGAAACAAAACTGCATATCACTTATATGCATCCAGTTCAGGCAACTAACATCTGCAAGAAAACAACCAAGTTCAGAGAGCACCAAAGACTCCACAGATTAAAGAATTCTTGCATGGAGTTTTCTCCCAGAAGAAAGGGTAAGAACTAAGATTCCAGGAAGAAGTCTAGCACACTACTGTGGGGATTGCTGACAGATACCTCATGTTTCCTTCCTGCTACTTGATGATAAATAACTTAAGCCTCTAAAGATGTTTCCAAACAGTTCCTAGAAACTCCAGTCTGTGTGGATGGCTTTGGGAATGCTGAGAAGTACTGTATAATAATATGCGGAAGGGATCAAATTGCCCACTCTTAAAGTTTTTTAGCCCCTCTAAATATAATGCTTTCATTTACTCTATATAATAAGCTCCCCTTGAATTCATATAGGTAATCATTTTTCAAATATTACTGCATTGATACCTCTTAATTATACACATACATACATACATACACATACTTTCTTAAGATAAAATAATGAAT